CACAAACAGCTGAGCATGCATGCGCCGTGTGGACGAAGCTGTTTGAATTAATGTTACGTTTTAACACTGCCGCTTGCTTCCCGACAGACGTAGAAACAGCATCTGTTTGGTCGTGTTATTTCCCGAGATTTTTTTCATCCTGCCCTCGCGCAGGCATATGTAGGGAGCGTCGCACTCCCGGATCTCGAGGCCGTCGTGTTACTATATCAGCATTGTCACGAATTTCAAGGAATGGTACTTCTCGAGATGTCTGAATGATAGAGTCGAGCGAGATGATGCAACGATGGATATGGAGCATGACATTCCTACGCGAGAAGCAGTGAAAAAAATTGCCGAGAAGATCTATTCGATGCTGTCATAAGATGATTAACATGTCGTGGCTCCGAAGACTTTGGGGTCAACATTGGTGAATCTTGTTTGAGCTTTTTCCTGGAGAGATGGCTTACTTCAGTATTCTGGAGCCTGGAAGCCGCAATGGAAGCTCAGCGACAAGATATTGCTAGTCGAAGATCGCAGGATACGTAAGTAAGAGATCAGAAACAGAAATAACCGACATATAGTGCACGCAGCTTTTAATTTATCAATTCGCTGGCTGCAACGACCTCCAAATTTAATTTTGAATCCTGACGATATACTGTAGTAGTAATACGTGTATACTGACGTATTCACCCGACCAATATCTCGCTAACAAAACTTCCGCCACCCTCTCCGATAAGCGGCAATACATTTCTCAGCTTCAGTCGCTTCACGGGTTCTTGGAAATATGGGAGCTCAATCTCGGTACCAGCAGGCAATGATTGCGCCAGTAGCGTCCTGGTTACTTGAAAAGCTTCGCCTGGTTCCTTGATGATCGCTTTGAGGATTGCGCCCTCGGATATCCAGAAGAACTGCCAATTGTCGGCTAAGCCAGTAAGCAGTGATATCACTGGGTCTTTGACCAGAAGATCCAGAGCGAACAGCTCTGACAACGCCTGGAAGACGGAGCTTGGTTTAAACTGCCTTTTCACTGTAATCAACATCGCAAGATCGCCACTTCGGAAGGGTACTCCTCGACAAGATCACTCAGTATGAGGAGATCGGTGCGTCCAACGAGCTCAATGTATCGCTCGGTGGGATTCGTGAGAGCATCGAACGATACTGTGACACAGGGGCGTAGCTAGACTAAAGGGGCAATCTTTTCATTATTATTTCAGTGTGAATTTTAAAAACAAAGTACACAAATTAATTTAAAAAAAAATGAAACAACGTCAGAAATATAGCCATGCTACATTGGAATGCGTCTGGTTGTTAATGCGTTGAATGCGTCAATTACCTCGTCCTTGTCAATACTGTTTGTAAGATCGCGTTCTATAGCCAGAAGCATCAAATTTGACATCCAAGAATCGCCCATCGTTGATCGGTCGTCTTGACTCTTTTCATGGTAAGCAACGATCTCTCAGCACTTGCGGTAGATACCGGAAGAACGCAGATTAATTGTACAAGTCGATGTAAGCTTGGGAAAAACGCTTGGTTGTCTGTCGAGTATATAGTTGGACAAAGATCCTCTGTTGTCTTCAAATCCTTGAATCTCTTGCCAGATTTTGAGATAGCGGTAAGTCTATCCACTTCTTCTCCTAGAGTGATAATATCCGGAAAATCATCACAGTAGTAACTCTCTGCAAGTTTCACAATTTTGTCTCTATCCCACATTTCAAAATTG